GGGTGTAGAGCCTGATATATATCTTTTTATATTTTCTTACATGCGTACTTTATCCATCTTCAATGACATATTTTTCTTTCATTCTGTTGATCAGTTTTTACCCTTGTGGAATTGTAGAACTAACTAAAACATAAGTATTATGCGATACTTGATTTTAGGATATCAAATGATCGCTCCTCTTATTATAAATAAGCATAGATCATTTGAAACTTCTTTTTCATGTATTTTTTACTTATCAAATGAAAACAGTCTCAAAAAATGGTGAGGGAGGAGATGGTGAAGAAACATTGATCCTTGGAAAGTTGTGATGTTTTGTAATTAAAAAATAAAATTTGTAGATGAAAAGACAATTTGCCAATGTTGTCTAAGCTTGTGAAATTTAAGTGGCTTGAAAATTAGAACAAGAATACTTGATTAGAAAAGTTTTGGGCTTTATTTTTATTTAACTGGTAAAAAAAAAGGGAAAAAAGATGACAATCTTCAATGTGTATGATTTTTGCCAGTTGAATCCTTTCATAGAATGAAACATTCTCAATCATTTTTAAATTATTCTAAAATATTTGTATTGACAGAAATGAATATTTAGTAACCTTTTCCACTTTCTCCTTCTAGGTCAGATGACTGATTTGATCCATACTGAGAAAGATCTGGTGACTTCTCTGAAAGATTACATTAAGGCAGAAGAAGACAAATTAGAACAAATAAAAAAGTAAGCAAAGTGTTTTACTTATTATGACTGACTCTCCACAGATGTTTTCTTTCTTAAGCTCAAGTATTCCTTGAATAGAGATGAAAGCCCTGTTTTAGTCTTATAAAGTTAGCTTTTAAAATGACTTTAATAGGAGCACAGAAAACAAGAGTTAGGCCTCAGCCATGGTTTACATGAAAGAACATGGACTGAATTAAGAGTATGAATGGATATGGGAAGTTAACTGACAAATTTCAAAAATACTACTAGTGTTGTCTTCTTCTGTCTTCCCCCAACCTCCCCAGTCAAGCCACCTGCTGAAATTGTTTTCTGGTTCTATTATTCACTCCTATGGTTCCATTGTAGAGATTATAGTGATAAGTATGGTTAATATTATTTAATTGATATAGTTTGTCTCAAATACTAATTTATTTTCTAGTGACTCAGGTTCATAGTTAATCCTGACCTGAAAATTGCTGTTTTTTATCTAATGGGTAGCTAAATATTCAGGTTTTTTTTTTTTTTTTTTTTTT